TCTTGATCTCGTGATCCACCCGCCTCGGCCTCCCAAAGTGCTGGGATTACAGGCGTCAGCCACAGCGCCTGGCAAATGTCCAGCTTTTGACAAAAAAAATTATGAGGCCTAAAAAGAAATGAGAAAGTATACCCCATTACAGGAAAAAAGGAAATTAACAGAAACTGTTCCCCAGGAAGGGTAGGCATTGGATTTAAATAAACTCTTAAATATACACAAAGAGCTAAAGGAAACCATAGGCAAATAACTAAAGGAAATGGGAGAACAATGTCTTACCAAATAAAGAATCATCAATAAAAAGAAACTGAATAGAAATTCTGGAACTTAAAAGTAAAATTGAAATGAATAATTCACTAGAGGGGGTTCAACAGTAAAGTTGAGCAGGCAGAAGAAACAAGCAGTGAACCTGAAGATAGGTCAACTGAGATAATTCAGTCTGAGGAACAAAAAAAGAAAAGGAAGAAAAATGAATAGAGTTTAAGAGGCGTGTGGGACACTATTAAGCAGATCAATATGCAAAATGACTGGCTCAGAGGGAGAAGAAAGAGGGGGACAGAAAGACCATCTGAAAAAACAATGGCCAAAGACTTCCCAAATGTTGATGAAAGACAAGATGATCAACACATTCTAAGCAGGATAAACTCAAAAAGATCAGTGATTTAAAAAAAAGGCAAAGGCTACATCCTAGCAGCAAACAGATAATAATAAATATGATAAACGTATAAATGATCAATTAAGTAAAGAAGTGAAGTACTGAGAAGAAAAAAAATAGGAGATCAGAGTAAGGGGTACTGAAAGAGCCAGGAGAGGAGGGCATATTGCAATTTTAATTATGGTGGTCAGGATATGCTTCAATGAGAAGCTGATATTTACAGAAAGACAAGGAAGGCTATGAGGAAGCAAGCCAAGTGGCTATCCAGAGGAGTGTGCTAGGTACACAAAACAACTCATGAAAAGGCCCTGCAGTGGAACAATGCCTGACATGTTTGAGAATTAGCAAGGAGGCCAATGGTTTGAGTGCAGTGAAGAAGGTGGAGAGCAATTGAAGACAGGGTCAGAAAGGTAACAGCGGGTCACATCCTGTTAGGCTTTATAGGTCATTATAGGAACTTTGATTTTCACCCTGGTGAAATGAAAAGCCATCACAGGATTCAGAGCAAAGTAATGATATGATCAGACCTGGGTCATTTTGGTTGTTATCAGTTTTGCAAATTTTGAGTTTGAGACGTTTTACAGACAACGGAAATTAGTAATTAGGTAACTGAACATAAGAAACTGGAGTTTGAAGGAAAAGCTAACATTAGGAGTTTCCGTAAAGAGATAGTATTTAAAAGCCATAAAAGTGAATGAAATCACCAACTGTAGACAGAGGAGAAAAGAGATACAAAAATGAGTTAAAATGGTGCCTCAATATTAAGATGTTGAAGAGATGAAGCACAACAAGCAAAGGAGACTAAAAAGGAACAGCCAGAGAAGAGAAAGAAGAAATGATCTACTGAGTCAAATACCGCTGTGAAACAGGCAGAGCAGCCTACATCATCTTCTTTTTACAGAAACAGGGATTAAAGCTCAGATAAATCAATGAAGTTTGTCTTAGGTACGAAGCTTGTCCCATTTCATGACCACAGACTCACAGCCATTTGGCTGGAAACAGAGTTGTAGGAGATTCTTTTTTTTTTCAACAAGCCAGTGAAAACTAAGAGTGAATAGAGAGAAAAAATGAAGAGGAAGATTAAGTCAACAGAGCATAACTGGGGAGAATATGCATATTAAGGGAGAGTAATAAAAGTCAGAAAAGATTCTATAGCAAAGATATTCTGGATGGGGTGTCTTTAAAGACAAGACAAGACTGGTTTAAGAAGACTGTACTTAGTCACACAGTGCTAAATACTGCACAAAATTGACAACTTTCCAGAGGACTTTTCAAGAGTTGTTTTAGAATAATATTGGATATAAAAATCTGATTATAAGGATTACAGACTGGGGGTGGTAAGGAGAGAAAAAGACAGGCAATCCTTTAAAGAAGTTTGGTGAGGAAAGAAGAGACTTACAGAGAAAAGGTTTTTCTTTTTCATTATCTGGAAACCTGAGCATGTCTACCAGACAGATTTAGAGCTGAGGGACCAAATATTCAAGGCACAGATTCTACGTGTGAAAAAGGAAATACTTTATTCAGCAAGACTGTAATATATGTATGTATATGTGATATCTATATGATATCTATATATATATATATAAGAGCTGGGATCAAGAACCTAAGTGGAATTCAATTGTGGAAAAGAATGATAACATGATCCCAAAGGAGGATAGGATGGATGAAAAGAAAGACATTTTGAGATGACAGTGAAAGGTGATGGAGCTTGTTTCTGATTTGTCTAAGTCATTCACTAAAATAACAGGCAGTCAGGACAGAATGAAGAGTCCAACGAGAACAGATAAAGTTTGAAATAGCTATTACAGTTTCAGCTCTTCACTGATCTTGTCAAAGAGAATGAACATGAGAGGAATGAATAAGCAGAAAGCTGAGAAATATTTGAGCTTAATTGTAGGTCCTGCTGAAGTGAGCTAGTCTTAGCTCTACCATGTCTGTACTATAGTTACCAATATACTTGTTTGTATCCTCCATAAAATTATAAATTACATGAGGACAGAAAATGTTTACCTTATTCATTAATGTGTCTCCATGAGTATATGGCATTTAGTAAATACTTCACAAATGAAGATGTAACGTATACAATCCCTATCATTTTAAACATTCCTTAATGGTTACAGTTTAATAGGTATTATGAATGAGAGGTAAAAAAATTTTCTTGGCTGATATTTAAGCTGTTTTCCTAGACCTGTAAGGGATATTAGACTGCCCTTTTTGGTCAAAGATAGAATCTGTTCAATAAATTTAAAAGACATCAAGGAGAAAATTCAATTATCTTAGGAAAAATGTGCCAATTAGGTTTTTTTTTTAGTTATTCCTGGATTAAAGGCTGAGTTTGACCTTGAAGTTACTTTGGTAAGAGTTACTTTATCTGAAGTTTTTGGGAAAGGAAATATCTGAAGTTTCCATATATTAGAAACCTCACTCTACCATAAAGAATCATACTTTTATATTTATTATTTGCATAGAAATCTTAAAAAAATTCATGTCACATTTATTGGCATCTAAAACATAGCTGAATGAACATGATCTAGTCTTTTCTCAAGTACATAGAAATCACCACTATGCTATCCATCATTATGCCACATAAAAAGCTGTGGAAGGAGGTTGGGTGTGGTGGCTCACGCCTATAATCCCAGCACTTTGGGAGGCCAAGGCAGGCGATCGCTTGAGGTCAGGAGTTTGAGACCAGCCTGGCCAACATGGCGAAACCCTGTCTCTACTAAAAACATAAAAATTAGCTGGGCATGGTGGCAGGTGGCTGTAATCCCAGCTACTGGAGAGGCCGAGGCAGGAGAAATGCTTGAATCTGGGAGGCAGAGGTTGCAGTAAGTGGAAATTGTGCCAATGTGCTCCAGCCTGGGCAAGAGAGGGAGACACTGTCTTTCAAAAAAAAAGAAAAAAAAAAAAGAGCTACAAGTCTCTACTTTGAATAGACCTACATGTTTATACATTTAAATTATTGTTTTTTGTTTGTTTCAGTTGACCCTATTTGCTATTACCAAAGTGCTTGTCTACCTTTTAACTTGTTACTCAAATCTGGAGTAGGCAAGAAAACATGTTTATTAAAATTATCTCAAGTGAATTTATCATTCAACATTGTTTTGTATTATCTACACTTATCACCATAAGGTTATTTTCATTAAAGAATGGGGAGAGTCAAAGTTTTGTGTGTGTTTAAACGTCTGTGTGTGTGTGTGCGCGCGCGCTCGCACCTATGTATGTAGAAAGCAAAAATATATGAAGTGGCGACTTAGAGGCTGCTTTCTACTTAAAGTGTTTCGGGTTTTAGAGTACTGGTTCAGTTATTTGGTGAGATTCAATTATCCTATATAATCATTTATTATTATTTTGAGATCGAGTTTTGCTCTTCTTGCCCAAGTTGGAATGCAATGGTGTGAACTTGGCTCACCACAACCTCTGCTTCCCAGGTTCAAGCGATTATCCTGCCTCAGCCTCCTGAGTAGCTGGGATTATAGGCACGTGCCACCACGCCTGTTTCATTTTGTATTTTCAGTAGAGACGGCGTTTCTCCATGTTCGTCAGACAGGTCTCGAACCCCTGACTTCAGGTGATCTGCCTGCCTTGGCCTCCCAAAGTGCTGGTATTACAGGTGTGAGCCACTGCGCCTGGCCTATGTATTATTATCTTGCTTTCTTCTTGACTCTCAGCTGGCTTCACATAACCTGAGATTGTCAAACAAGTAGCTGTTCTATCTAGTTATGTTCCTTAGTCGTTAAAACAATTTAGCCATTAAACTGATTTAAAAAAAAAAAAAAAAAAAAAAAAAATCCAAGTACCAATCTTACTTTTCTAAGTTGAGGGAAAAAAATGAGTGAATGTGAAAGGATTTGGCAAAGTACAATAGTGATTGCATTTTTATAATATACTTAATATTTAAAAAATTTTATCTATAAACAAATCTATAAAGGCTTATTTTATATAAGTCTTTTCACTGGATATAATGGTGCTGCTATTTTCAAACTGACATTACTTGTTTTGCAGACCTCTACCTCCCTTCATAAGCACAGATGTCAAAGTGTAACTCAGAACTAAGCAGTATTTTTAAATACTTTCTTTCTTTCTTTCTTTTTATTTTGGAGACAGGGTTTCATTCTTTCAGCCCAAGCTGGAGCACAGTGGTGCGATCTTGGCTCACTGTAGCCTTGACCTCCCCCAGGTTCAAGCAATCCTCCCACCTCAGGTCTCCCCCTACCGCCGACCCCTCTGCTGCCGCCCAGTAGCTAGGACTACAGGCGTGCACCACCACGCCCTGCTAATTTTTGTGTTTTTTGTAGAGACAGGGTTTTGCCATGTTGTCCAAGCTGGTTTCTAACTCCTAGACTCAAGGAATCCACCTGTCTTGGTCTCCCAAAGTGCTGGGATTACAAGCATGAGCCACCGAACCTTGCCTTAAAAGATTTTCATATTCCTGACTAGAAATTCTGGTACATTAGAAAACATCTGATTTCTCTTGAATATAATTTCATTTCTTTTCATCTAGAATTCTTCACAAGTATTTTTTCTAATATAGTAAATTTTGAGTTTCAAAAAAAGCAAATACTGAATAAAATCTGAAGTGCTCAGTAGAGCTAAAATGAACTAGGTATTTTCCAATAACATTTAACAAGAGCAAAGTAATACAAATTTGAGACTAGAAAAGGGCACAAATGCCATCACTGATTTATAAGTAATTAATTTAAAAATAGTCATCAACAATGATCTTTTAAAAGGAAACCTTGAGAATGCTGATACTAAGCTGGTCTCTGTTTAGAGAAAACTTAAACAGTGTAACGGTTTTTTTTTTTTTTTTTTTTTTAAAGATGGGGTTTCACCATGATGGCCAGGCTGGTCTTGAACTCCTGACCTCAGGTGATACACCCACCTTGGCCTCCCAAAGTGCTAGGATTACAGACATGAGCCACCGTGCCTGGCTAAATAGTGTAACTGTTAAGATCTAAACACCAATTTTCTGAAATAAGGCAAAACCGTATTTTCAATACTTACATTTTCTCCAATGTAAAATCTACAGGGAAAAAAAGCTGTGAGCCACTCCTAAATCCAGAGATCTTCTGTTTAAAAATAAGCAGTAAAAAAGTTTCTGCTAAAACCTATGTATACATGTAGAATTCAGGCCTTTCTGTGCTCTTCTTCTATATAAGGTTGCAACCAGAGCAAATTAATGGCGTTCCACAGCAAAGGCAGAAAAGCTAGATAAGAACCTGGTTTCCCTGCTATAAGTTAGAACTATAGAAATCACTATAGGCTAAAAGAGCAGAATCTTCATAGAATGAAACATCTAGAATAGATCGATGATATCTTATTTTTTCTTAAATGGGAAAAACAGCTCAGGCGCAATCCCAAAAAAACTATCTTAAGCTAAAATGATCAAGTTTATTACAGTCCCTCTAAATATTAAAGAGAGCTCTTAAAAAATATAACTTGAATAAGGCCCATGAACTGGTTTAACACACTTAACAGTGGTTTTATGAATCACAATGAATCCTGCTACTCTCTAAAAATGAATATATCAAAGAGGAAATAACTTCCTTGGCATGCTCACAGCTATACAACGTATTTGTTTCACTGCTTTCAACCGCCTGTGCTGGAGGCTCAGAATAAGTCAATGAGAGGAGGACTTCAGGCACAGCAGCAAGCAAGTCTGCTGAACGGATAAGATGACATGCTCGGGAAGGTAACAACAAAGCCAGAGGTAAGTATTTAACAAATACATATGGAATTAATCTAAAGGTTTTTTAGTTTCCTTTTTCTTAAGTTTCAAGAACTCTGATATCATAATCTTTCATTTTTATTCAGTGGTTTAAAAAGCAAAATGAAAAATTTACTAATGCTAAGGGGGAGTTTTTAAAAATGTGATTTGTACATTTGATGAATAAATAAATGGTTTAATCTTCCTTTTGGTTTCCCTTTCTTCTCAAGGCAAATGGGAAGGTTAAAGAAAAAAAAAAAAACACTACTTAAAAGAAAAAAAGAGTTCGTTTGAATTTGGCAAATTTGGTGATTAAATTTAGAACACATTTGTTGCAAAAACATACCATGAGAGATGAAATTACTAAGAACAATTATTTGGATCCCAGTAATACCTATTTTTTTCCTTCTCTCAAACTAAAGGAAATCTAAAATGGCATTTATATTAGTACTCACAAAGTTGATCAGACAAAGCCAATTACATATAAGGATTCCTAGCTGGTAAATCGTTTATTTAGACCCTTGTTAGGCTTGGAGTGTTTCTAGGTGGGTGGCCAGTGCATACAGAAAGTTCTATTCTGAACTACTGTGTTTCGACTTTTCTAGACTGTAAATAAAGGTAAAAAGACATTCAAAGGCAAGGAAACACCTTTTTATTATAACCATTGAAAAATTTAATGTGCCTTCTGTTTTATTAACTGAGAAATATAGTATTTTTGGAGAATTGGCTGCATTGACACAAATGCACAACAGACTTACTAAGAAGGGAAGGGTTATCAAGTGTTTTTACCACTTTCAGAAATGAATAAAATAATGCAATCTGTGTATTTTGTATCTAGGGGAACCTCTCTGGCATGCAAGTTCAAACACGTCTCTACAACTACGGCAGAAAAAGAGAGAAACTTAAAAAAAAACCCTCCTATTTTTTTCATAGCTATCAGTTTCTTTCAGAGCCTTCCTAAATTTAAGCCTCTAGAAAATATTAAATTCTTGGAGATCTTACCTACACACATGGACAGATGTGTTCATGTGCTCATTTTTGAGAACTTGAATTTTTTTTTAAAGGAAGGTGTCATCTTTGGTTTTGAGTGTTTGGCTGGGTACAATGCTTTAAAAAAAACCAGATGACCAGCTTAGCTACTGACCATGCTGACCACTGTTCGGAACGACACTGAATCACAGAAAAACAGCAAATGGGTCTCTCTCATAGAGTGTCTGAACTTCAAAGCACAATTCCTGGGCACATTTTGCAGAGCACCTTTGTTCACTTTATCTCTTCTAACTGGTCTGGATTACAGACAGAATCAATACCGGAAGAAATGAAACTGATTGTTGAGGAACAGGGAAATAAACTGCACTGGGCAGCTCTTCTGATACTCATGGTGATAATACCCACAATTGGTGGAAATACCCTTGTTATTCTGGCTGTTTCACTGGAGAAAAAGCTGCAGTATGCTACTAATTACTTTCTAATGTCCTTGGCGGTGGCTGATTTGCTGGTTGGATTGTTTGTGATGCCAATTGCCCTCTTGACAATAATGTTTGGTAAGTATTTCACTTGTTTGTGCCATCAAACCACAGAACTATGATATGCTATTAGAGAACTGGACACTCATTGAATCTTTATTTTTCTTGAAATAAAAGATGAACTTGGACTATTTAAAGATACGGCAAGTAAACAGTCACTTGTTTTACATCATTTTCTATGGTTGATCATCAGTTTTAAAGAACAAAAAATATTTTTTTGCAAACAACTTTACTCCCTCCTAAGCCATCTAATAAAATCATTTAAAAAGTCATTCAAGTTAGTGATATTTATGGATTCTGAATGTATTATCTACAAATTATAGTGAATAGGCCTATACTTTAACTTTCTACATTGATAACTTTTCCTTAAAGCAATAACTAGGACACTTCTGGGACAGATACATGCTGGGTTAATGATAAGGTCTTTGAATCACTAAATAAACACTTAAGCCCAATTTAAATCACTAAGCCCCAGTTTAAAATTGGAATTGTTAAAAAACTCTTGTTATATCTTTTAATGTTTGTGTATTATAAACTTGAATACAATTCCTACTTATGTGTCATGTTAAGAAAAATTATGTTTAGTTGCTAAAGAAAATGGTTTGGCTCAGAGTGTCCAAAGAGATGACTCATCTGTTTAACTTTTTTTTATTATATATGGCCATCTGTGCTTGTGATAGACCTCTAAGTAAGTAGATTAAAACCTAGTTATTGTGATAATAAAAAGTATAGCTTGACACTGAAATCTTAGTTTGTTATAATAAAAAAGAATAATAAAATAAATATAAGTAGTTTCAGATTTATGCATATCATCTCTAGTTATAAAATTTGGATAAACACAAATAGTTCTGCTGATGAATTATGAGGGCTCATAGACCCTTGGAATCAGCATTTAAGAGGATATTTAACTTATTCAATGCTTGATGTAAACTGATATTCCATTCATAAACTGCCTAAAAAAATGATTATTTGTGGCAGATACGGTTTCTCAGATTTACTTATATGAAGATGAAAATATTTTAAATTATAGAAATAAAATTTATTAAACTAGAATCCGTATTAGAAGGTAGAAAAATCCCTGCTATTCCAACTATTATACCCAGGTCTTATATGTTACAATTTTATAAGTAATAACAGAAAGATATCTAAAATTATCATCAGATGGTAACAGGTTTAAACCTTCCATTTAAAATCAACATTTACCTGGGCTTTAAAATTAATCAAGAAAAATATGTGGCAGGACAAGCAGTAATGAGTAAGGCTCTACTGCTTTAATTAGACTTTCTAATCATTAACAGTTTTTCTATATCCCTCTCTTTTATAAATTTGTAATCTTTTGAGTAATCTAATGCTACATGAAACCATGGAGAATAATTAAGAAATCTTACCATATATAACTCTATCAAGACAGTTGCAGTTGGGCAAAATAAAAAAAAAAAAAGTGAAATCTTGCTATAATAGAGAACATAAAGAACCTTAATTCTGAATAAAGCTTAAAAGAAAGTATTATGTAGAAATATATATGCATATTTGATAGATTGTACACGCATATGATTCCAGTGCTCATCTCCACGTACATAATAGTAGCTTAAGATGTAAAATCATACTCTTCAAATTGTGCTTTGCTTGTCATATAGAAAATGTCAAAATGCTTATTTCAGACTACCATAAAATTTAATGTTGTTGAATACATGAAATTGAAAGAATTATGAAGTGAATTTTAGCTTTAAAATCTTTGAGCCCATAAATATCAAACATCTATTATATGCAAGGTACTACTGTAAGTACTTAAATTATCAGAAAAATAGTTAAGGAATCTTAAAAGACAAAGTTCCATAGTATTAAACTGAGTTAACAAAATACCAAAACATAACAAAGATAATTTTATGTATTCTATAGAAAAATGGGTATCCAGCAGCTGAAAATTTTAAATGCGTATTTAAAATGTTGGTACCCCAAGATATTCTTAGCAATACAATTAGCAGAAAACTCAACACATGTTAACATAAAATATGTAAAATGTCTTCATATTTATGTCTTAATTGATATATACTTTAATAGTATTTCACTCTTCCAAATGTTTGTTAATTTTCAAATTTATTTTTATTTATTTATTTTAATAGAGATGGGGTCTTGCTATGTTGCCTAGGCTAGCCTCAAACTCCTGGGTTCAAGCTATCATCTGGCCTCAGCCTCTCAAGTAGCTAGGATTATAGGCACCATGCCTGGCTCATGTTCATTAATTTCTCATTACAAAATAAAATCTTTTATATCCCCAAACATTTTTACTATCAGAATTAAGTTGTACAGTAGGGTTTGTAGATTTGTTAAAAATGAACAAATCTGGGAACCACTAATACATTATTGCATTATTTATCTAAAGCATAATTCAATTTCTATTAAAAAAAAAGTAGGAAAAAAAACACATGTGGCTCTCTCTAACAAGCTTCAAAGGATGAATTCATAAATTGGGAACTGCATGTATTACAAATGGAAACCTGACTTCAAATACTAAGATATTTTTTACAACCTTAAACCTTTTGCAAATCAATGAACACTAAGATTTTTCTAAACGAATGCATTTATAAGAACATATGATACCTTTAAAAGGCAGAATTAGACTTTCACTCTTATTGTAGTGGTAGTCTTCAGGACTTCTAAAGTTTGTACAAACAAGTATTCTGGGTTTTATGATAAAAGATTATCACTATGAGAAATAATTTTAGCTATCTCAGGGAAATTCAATGAAAGTAACACAAAACTTTATACTAGCTAGTATTCTAAGAAAACAAAATTTTAAAAACAAGAGCAGTAAAATGTAAAAGTGGCTCCTGTGTCCTTATACTGAGAGATATTTTATTCAATCACTGATCTGTATAATATTTAATAATACACTGTTTGAATTCCTATTTTGCCAAGATTATGACAACTCAGGCACAACACTGTCTTTCAAATGAGTTGTGCTAGGTCAATTTTTTCTGCCATTTCCTCCTATCTGGGAGCACTGGCCTTGATGATCTTTACGGTTCTAGTTTTTTATTGTCTTGTCCATAATTCAAAAATCCATGATCATAAATCAACAGATTATAATATAAGGATTAAAGATACCTGTTAGAAATACTTGAGCATGAAAACAACATCTTAATGCTGATATAAAAAAGACAGGATGTTCACCATTTAAGAGCTTCTTTGAACCTTTCTTTCTTTTATTTTATAAGTAATTTAAAAAGTAACAAGGGAGGCCAGGCTGGGCACAGTAGCTCACCTGAGGTCAGGAGTCAAGACCAGCCTGGCCAACATGGCAAAAACCTGTCTTTACTAAAAATATAAAAATTAGCCAGGCGTGGTGACACACACCTGTAGTCCCAGCTACTTGGAGGCCGAGGCAGGAGAATCACTTGAACTGGGAGGCGGAGGCTGCAGTGAGCTGAGATCGTGCCACTGCACTCCAGCCTGGGTAACAGAGCAAGACTCCATCTCAAAAACAAAACAAACAAAACAAAACAAAACAAAACAAAACAAACCAGAAAGTAACAGGGGAAAATATGGCATCTGGTAATCCATTGGGCATTACTGGTTTATTTATAATTTTTTTTGTTTTTGAAATGGAGTCTCGTTCTGTTGCCCAGACTGCAGGTATGGCTATGTTCTTGGCTAACTGCAACCTCCGCCTTCCAAGTTCAAGAGATTCTCCTGCCTTAGCCTCCTGAGTAGCTTGGACTACAGGCATATGCAACCATGCCCGGCTAAGTTTTGTATTTTAAGTAGAGACGGGGTTTTGCCACGTTGGCCAGGATCATCTCAAACTCCTGACCTCAGGTGATCTACATGCCTTGGCTTCCCAGTGTTAAGACTACAGGTGTGAGCCACCGCACTGGGCTATAATTTACGTTTTAATTGATGCCTCATGATCTATAAGTTGAAACAGTATCCGTGGTATAAGTGATAGAGAGTATATACAATGACTGAAAGACTGCTGTTTGGAGCAAGACATCCCAGGGTTTGAATCTTGGTTCTCCTGTATTTTATCAAGCAAGTCACTTACTATCTTACAGTTCAATCACCTTGTCAAGCAGGGCCTAGCATTTTATAAACACCAATAGTAATTGGTAGAGTGCTGCATGTGATTTAGTTGAGATGTAAGTCTAATCAGAGAAGAAACAAATGTATAGCAGTAAAAGAAAAAAGGCAGTTATTTATATATGCAGTAAAATGTTAATCTACCCAATTCTGAAATGGGGGGGAAAAAAGCAATTAATTAAAGGTGCTTCTTGTTGTAAAGAAGAAATTTAAAAAACCAGGAAAAAACTGTGTAAGTATTAAGTTGCTTAAAACGTTAAAAACACTATCATATTAGACATAGAACCCCCAGATAACTCATATGCTCAAATGTAGTAAAAAAAAAGCAAAAAACGAAACAAACTTTTAAACAATAATTTGAACTGAACTATGTCTTTCTTTTCTGGAAGATAAAGACAGAGGCATTAGAATTTCTGAGATAAATGTATATTTGAAAATTAAGGTTTTTTTGGACATAAGAACTATTTATAATTTGTCCTGTTGCATTAAGTTCATGAACTGAGTAACTCTGTAAACTCTATAGGCACAGCCCTCTTGGAATGCCTTTAAAAACAGTCTTTTCCATACTCCGAAGGGAATTATTTTATGTCCTAGATTTATGGATTGATGCTAGTTATTTTCTGACAAATGATGTAACTTGACTTTCCAAACTAAAAAGTTGCCCGAAGGCAACTTTAAGCAGGTTTCAGATAAAATAAGTCTACCTATCAAGACATGGAGTTTCTAGTAAAAATCCTCAGGTTATTTTTTACTAATTTAAAAGAAAGCAAAAACCACCAAGAAAATACCAAAACCAAACAAAAAATCCAGGCATGGCACAACTGCAACACATACAGGTTATTTTCCTGTGCCATATATAAAACAAACAGCAGTTAAATTCGACGTTAGTAAAAAAATATACTTTTATGACAAATTTAATCCAAAGTTAAATAGAGTTAAACATGTTCTCAGCCCATCCTCCTTCACCCCTTGAAAGTACAGCTTAAAGTTTTAAGCCGGATCAGATGCATGCACTTTTACTACAGCAGGCAGAAAGACAAACACAATTATTTTATACTGATGATTTGGCTTATTGTTTCTATGCAGGAGTGTTTTCATGGTTGAGTTAGTTGGCTAGTTTCTGTCAAACAATAGTAATAAGCATTAACATTTGAGTGTTTTCTTTTTGCCAGGAACTGTTCTAAACACTTCACATGTATTTAATTGTTATCCATAAAAACCCTAACAAAGCAATCCTATAAAACAGGCACTATTATCCTCATTTTACAGAGGACAGAGAAACAAAGTGGTAAGTAATCTGTTCAAGATTACAAAGGAATTGGCAGAGACATGATTTAAACCCAGGAGGACTGATTCTAGAATTTACACTCTTAACCTCTATTACTCTGCTTTCTCAAATGCCAATGAGAAAGTCGACCCGCCAAACTGTCATATTTGGCATACTGAGCTAATATTATATCTTAAATAACCCCATGTAACTGTTAAGAGGACACAGAATATTTTTCCTCCCTAAGGACACGGCAGAACTCAGTATTCTTTTCAGTTAAACTTATATTTCGTATTAAGTGGAAAAGAATACTTGAGCGTCAACCTATACTTGTACAAATCCTTCAGATGACTGCAAGATCTCTTTTCTGTGGAAGGTATTAGGCCTAGGCCCACACTTATGAAGTTGTTGAACCTCGTCTGGGAGACAAATACAAATTTATATAACTGAATGACAATTCCCACCATCACTTATGTATGGCAATATTTAAAGTGTAGTCTTCATTTTAAACAATAAAATATTGTGCTATGGATATTTAGATAATTAAACAATTGTCTATAAGCCAAGATCCACCTAGGACTTGTTTTGTTGCCTTAATATTCAGTCTGTAATTATTTCAGGCATTCACAGAAATGCCATTATTCTTTCTTAATTTTAATGAGTCTAATTTAGAGCCCTAGAAGAACAGTAATTAATTTAGTTCAAGAACCTGGTAACTTATTTCCCTCAGACTGACTCTTAAATACACTTTTCTTTCTTTCTTCTTTCTATTTAAATATGTAACTGTTTCACTTGGTTATTTCAAACTTTAAATGTCTTAAGTCCTTTTGAAAATACATTGGACAGAATACACTATAACAAATAAATGTAATTATAAATTCTTAAAACCAAAACTCCTAATAAAAACATAAAAGTTCTGAAATAAAGTATTTCACTATACCAACTTAACCTTTAATTATGTTATTCTAAATAGAAACTTTCCTGATTTTGAGCTAACCAAACTAATATTAACAGTTTTAGAATGAAAGTCTCTACATTAGAAAAAGTCCCTTTATAAAACAAGCATGTCTAGAACTGTTTTTAATGTCTATAAATTCTTAGATTACCCAAATCTATTAGGCATTTATAAAAGCCTCTTTTTCTTTTTCGTATTGTATATAGGGTTTCTATTAATTTAATGCAGTTTTTTTCTTTTATGTTAGTTTCATAAAAACTATGCACCAGTGGTTCATGAAACTTGAAATCAGAAAGGCTTGGAATTGTAAAAATTCATCTCTCTTAATCTTTAATTTCGGTCTCATTCTTTCTTACAGAAAATTCTCTATCACATCTCAATATTTCTGTTAACAATAAAGCACTGACTGTAATAAGAAAATTCTAGTGAATTTTAAGTGATAATGAGTTTATAAATTCTTTGTTTAAAGTGAGGCTAACAGGGCTTGATAGGCTTATTTAAATCAGCAGCAAAAAAGCTTTAGCCCACAATTGGAGTATGTGGATCAGACAATCAAATTCCAAAGACAGGTACTTTTTATATCAGAGTTTTCTTATGACTTACTCCTTATGGCTACTAGATTTATGACTAGAATTTTCCAAACCTTAATCTTCAGAAGTACAATCCATAATTAGAATAGCTAAATAGGCAGGTTTAAATAGTCGGCAAACCATTTTAAGATGTTACAGAGAGAGCATGGATTTAAAGGAAGGAAACCTAAGATACAACACAATAATTTACCTGCCTTTTAAACCTAAGATACAACAAAATAATTATCTGCCTTTTAAATCTTTAATCCTTAAGATACAACACAAGAATTACCTGCCTTTTAAATCCTCAATATCTCTGATTATAGCTCTAGACGAGTATTGTTCTACCACCCTACTTAACAGTCCTAAATCTAGAACTTCAGGTCAGTTTAGAATGTAACCTCACTTTAAGTAGTTTCCACTGCAAACTCTATGATGATTCTTTTCACTCAGACTGTTAGTTTGCTTTAAAGTTGCCTGTGTCCAAGGTCCTTTTCCACTAAATGACAGAAAATCTGAATGTTACAGTTAAGAGGGAGAAAATCCAATTGATTAGGTTTTCTCCAAACACCAGTTTCTCTGCCTTCATTTACGTTGAGAGGCCTCCCATTAGTTCCTTTGTACGAGACATTCTGAGTGCCCATAACACTACAACAGCAAACTTAGGTGCATCTTTTAAGACTCAGGCACAACCCTTCCTAGAAAGTCTTCCAAAGCACTGCTTCTCAAATGTTAATTTGCATACGAATCACCTGGAAACCTTGTTTAACTGCAGAGTCTGATACATTAGGTCTGAGATGAGACCCAAGAACCTGTATATCTTACAAGTACCCAGGTAATGCCGATCCTCATTCTCAATCTTAAGAGCAAACTCTGAGTGGCAGTTCTAAAGAACACTTTAAAATAATACTAAAATTTCGATTAATAAATGCCTCCCCTCCTTACCCTTATATTCAGACTTAATTATACCTGAATTTACTCATCTGCAAGATCAACAATACTCTCTAATGCTCCTTCCAGTTCAATAAATCTGTAATTTACCACCTCTATCCCTTTTACCCCCAATTCAACAAGGAGGCAAAGTTTCTTCACAGCAATTTACTGAAGAGTATGAATGACCCCTTCCACCTGATGCTTTAATCCCTTTTTAAGAAGCTGCTGAACATGGAACTAAGCCCCAATCATTTATTCTTTTTGAGTAAAAGTTTGTGCTGATTTTGTTAGTTTGTTCATAGGAAGAAATATTTTAATATTCTTATTCAGAATGCCACCTACCAACTATGGAAACAGAAAGCACCAAAAAGTGGATGTATCAGCCTTGATACCTTTTGGACACTTTGTGAAGTGCCCAAATACTTTTCACTGAAATCCTACTTGACTTAAGAAAAATCTCCTACTTGATGCTTGAAAATAATATGGCCAAGTCTATCTAAAAACTCTGCCCTTAAATTATGGTATTTTTTTTGCTCTGAGATTTTAATCTCTCTCCTTAAATTTAAACAGTTCCTTAAATTTAAACAGTTCATAATAGAAGGGTCACTTGATGTTCTGCAATCCTGAGATGATTATCCTGGTTTTCCTTCAATTATGGCAATCACTTTATACCTGCCAAAGTCAGATATACTTACAATAGTCAGAAAAAAAGTAGATTATATTTTATCAGTGGACATATAACAATCTAATCCTAAAAGAGACTTAAATAATCTCACATACCTGACATTTGTTCTCTACAGGAGTTAAATTTGATTCTAATGGAAATATTCTCAGGGGAATTATAAAATTTTAGTTGTTTTGAAACTGTAAACATGTAAGTGGTGGGTGTAGATATAATGTATAACATATTAAATTCACATATGTATGGCCATCTGTGTAAGCAAATTTATTAGAAAACTATGAAGAGCATTCAGTATCACATCCAAACCTGAGGATTTTTTAAGGTTAATGTTTCTGAAGTGCTTAAGACTATATGAGGTACACAGGGTTTTGTAATAGTTTGTTAAATTAAGTACTATGTCTAACCCTGAGATTTTCTTTTTAAAGAAAAAGTCTGTACTAATTATTACATCTCCAGTTTTTGGAGTGAATGACGGAGTATGAAGGGGAAACAATCTACTTTTTTCAGGATAATCTGAAGCCATTCCTTTTGCAATCTTTATTCAAAAACTATTTCTGCCAAAAAAATCATTCCACTATTTCACCAAACTAGAGTATGGCTATAAACAAGGATCTTGCTGCTAGTTATTGCTAGAAGTGGGCCTAAAGCCCAGGTGCCACAGAGACTCCCATTCTAATATGCTTTTTGTTATACTACTTCCTCTATATGGTAAAATGTTTTCTTTTTATACAACAGCAACTTAATAAATTTTATTTAAATACCAAAGTTAAGTTTTAGTCACAATACTACATAAATTTCAAAAAGATCACAAATGGAATGGACAAAAGAGCAAAAGTTCAAAAAAAATGCTAAAAATGTTAAACTGCTGCTGACTTAGAAAAAGGGTGTAATTATACAAAATAGAAAATGTATTTAACAGTTACCATCCACAGAAATATTGTATTTAATGTTGTCTCCATTATCTAAAGTTAAGCATCATCTTATGGAGGTTAAGTTATAAAATTTCAGATGAGTAACAAAAAAGACAAAAGATACATCACCTGAAAAACTGTAGACTGAAGGTTGCCATTTTACAGGAGAAAATGCTTGTCTTGTTTTTGTTTCTTTCAGAGGCTATGTGGCCCCTCCCACTTGTTCTATGTCCTGCCTGGTTATTTCTCGACGTTCTCTTTTCAACTGCATCCATCATGCATCTCTGTGCCATTTCAGTGGATCGTTATATAGCCATCAAAAAGCCAATCCAGGCCAATCAATATAACTCACGGGCTACTGCATTCATCAAGATTACAGTGGTGTGGTTAATTTCAATAGGTACGTAGAGAATGCTAGATTGTGGGTGGCATACACAGTCTTTGGTTCTACTTGGCTAGAATACCAGTTGTGGTAGGCAACGAAACTCAGAACGAGAGGTCAAGGCAGCCTACTGATTATTAACATAAGCTCCTTATGTCACTGCATTTATCATACAGCTTCTAAACCATACTATTGGTAAAAAGTGTGAAGAGGAACAAAACTCATGTCCTCAGAAAGAACCATCTGCACAGTGTTTATTGAGATTTCTTTCTGCTTGGATTTCTGTATGCAGAAAGACTACGTTTGAGAACAGTTTTCATACTTGCCAACAGATAATTATGGTCTAGCTAGTATTTGGAATCCTATAATTACACTAAAATAACAAGAAATGAAATGTACCTTAAATCACATTTTAAAAGATTAACCAAAAAAAACCCACAAAAAAACAAAAATAACAACTCAAACATTTTGTAGGCAGCTATCAAAGAACAGAAATTCATCTCGGAAGCCAATATTTCAGTACCTATGTGTACAGATGGAAGACAGTTAAACATCTGCTTAAGTGGTTTTTTTTGTTCCTTTTTTGGAGACAGGGTCTCACTTTGTCACCCAGGCTAGAGTGCAGTGGCACAATCATGGTTCACTGCAGCCTTGACTTCCTGGGCTCAAGCGATCGTCCCCCCTCAGCCTCCCAAATAGCTGGGACTATAGGCGCATATCACTACGCCTAGCTAATTTTTGTATTTTTGGTAGAGATGGGGTTTTGTCATGCTGCTCAGACTGGTCTCAAACTCCTGAGCTCTGGTGATCTGCCGCCCCAGCCTCCCAAAGCGCTGGGATTATAGGCGTGAGCCACAGCGTGTGTTTTGAATACGTTTAATTGAAAGTTTTAAGAGAGATGCAAAGAAAACATAATATACTGTTATTCAGAAATGATTTATAAAAAGAAATCCTTTTTCTTCTAAATAGTCTTATAGCCCTGTACTCATCTATAATACTCAAAGCTGTACTTATCATGAAGTATGCATAAATCATTCAAAGCTCTTACATGTTAGTATCAGAAAAACAAACAGATTTGCAAAAATTACAATAATCTGACCACCAGACTCACTTCTTCCTTCTAAAAATATTTCAAAGAGGCAAAAAGTTAAGAGACCTGGTATACTTAAATTACTTCTCCCTAATCTGAGTAGGAGCACTGAGGCAAAAACAGCAAGAAAGCAAAACAAGGAAATTGACCTTTATATTCCTGAAATGATGACATAAGGGCTGAACCTCTGAAAAAGTTTGGAGGTAAAAGCAAGCTGTGTTATTCCTCTGGTGTGGGAAGAAAGCAGGGTCAATAAAAAGTCTATTCAGAATGAAGAGATATGAAAACAGTAGAAAAGGCTAATTTAGTGGGCAGAGGCCAACAGAGTAGAACCAGTCCTCCAAAAGCAGCTCCAGAAAGGGAACATTTAATTGTCACAATGGGTGACAATTAAAATTTGAAGCAGAGAGGAGGAAAACTATAATAAAGTCACTTATGCCAAATGACTCATATTTGGTAAGCTCACTACAATGAGGGAGAGGGAAAGGGAGAGTGTGAGGTATGTGTATATTGGGATGGGGTAGGAGAGTAGGACAGAGAAAGGGGAAAAAATATCAAAGACACGGAACCTTAAGAAGAATTAAAATATTTGAAACTGTGAAATATGATCAAGCTAATAAGGTAAGCAGCCTGCTGGTATAAATGGTATCTAAATTAAGGCTGGAGACCATCAATTTATAAATTGACCAAAATTTTATTGAGTGTTTATAATGTGCTAGGTACAAAGAATACACAGATGATCAAGAAAAAGAATCTTTGCACTCAAGAAAGGCAGATATATAAACAAATTACACTAATACAAAGTGATTAGTGGTGCAGGAGAAAAAAGGAATCAAAGGAAGACTCATAATATATAGATTTAGAAATCCACTTCTTCCTTTTATAGGTAAGAAAAAAGAAACCTAGAGGTTTTAATCGGTTGGCTTAAGAACTTACAGCTTTTCAGCACCAAGGCCAAGATCAATGCTCCTTCACTTCATTGCACTTTGTCTTGTAGAACCAATCGCAAATTAGTGACTTTGAAAAAGTGAAAATGCAGATGACAATAAGTTCAGTTTTAAAATTCTACACAGTGCTGAAGAGAGCTCACTCTCTTCTTTTGGATTTACAGTTATCCTAGGTAATACTGGGCAACAGAAAGTATAATAATATAACATGGTAAGGGCATAAAAAGTACCAGTGAAAACTTCTACAGTTATTGACCAGCAAGCTGGATAGGAAGGTAATGTGAGCCTTGATGGGGAGAAATTAATAGAATGTGAAAATTGAGACGAATGAATGAATTAGAGGTAAAAACAGTAAACAGAAGTTCTCTAGGAGTGAAAGGTAGCAGGACAAGGAAGGGAAGTATTAGAGTTCATAATCTTAGATATGGGATTATTTTAAGTAGACCTGTGGATGGCTTTAGTGCAAACAATAATAATTAAGAGTCAAAGAGTTCAAGAAATATAAAATTAAGGTCTTAGTCATCAATAGGATGAAGTTGTGGAAGATGCTGGCACTGGAGCAGTAGAGAGAAGACTATAGCAGGTACTGAAGCCACTAATAGAGATGAACAAACGTGTGGAGGTTAGCAGAAGAGCAGGATGGAGAGGACAGTATAAGTAGAAAAACTTCAAAACCAAGTGTTTTGGGGGAGAAAGAAACAGTGGGATGATGATCTGAAAGTAACAGTGTAAAGCAGGGGTCAGCAAACTTTTTCTATGAAGGGTAAGACAGGAAATATTTTGGGCTTGCAGGGCATATATGGTTTCTGTCACAGTTTCTCCAATCTGCTGCAGCAGAACAAAAGTAGCCACAGACAATACGTTATTAACAAATGGGAGTGGCAGTGTGCCAATAAAACTTTTACAAAAATAGAATGTGGGCCAATGACCGTCAAACTGTAGTATAATGACCCCTGGTGCAGAACAAGTATACAGAATCCTCTTTCTGGTGGTGTACATGAGGAAAAGTAGAGAAAGTAATGACCTCTGTTAGGAAGGGTTTGAGGAACATGTTATTGTCAATGGCTCTTCAGCTACCATAAAAAGGGTGTGTAGATGAGGGGTACTCTGTGATTCATAAAACAACACAAGGATTCCAGAGGTTTCTAAAGATCAATTAATTCAGACATTTAAAAATTATCTGCTGTTTCAAAGGAAAAAGATTCAAGTTAACACTTGTATTATTTGTCCTTCTAATAAACTACTTCACTAAGCAACATTATATTTAGATACTTCACGCTATTTAAAGATCAGAAAATTAACATGACGTATATTTCTTTCCTATGTCCTAGAAGAATTCTTTTTTTTTGAGACAGTCTCACTCTGTTGCTAAGCGTGGAGGACAGCCGTGTGATCTCAGCTCACTGCAACGTTGGCCTCCAGGGTTCCAGCGATTTTCACCTTAGCCTCCCAAGTAGCTGGGACTACAGGCATGTGCCACCATGCCTGGCTAATTTTCGTTGTATTTTTAGTAGAGATGGGGTTTTGCCATGTTAGCCAGGCTAGTCTCAAACTCCTGACCTCAAGGGATCCACCCTCCATGGCCTCCCAAAGTGCTGGGATTACAGGCGTGAGCCACTGTGCCCAGGCTTCTACATCACGATTCACACACACTCAAATTTTTAAGTAGTACTTTAAATAAACTCAGTTTTCCCTAAGAAGTTAGATGAAAGGCCGGGCGCGGTGGCTCAAGCCTGTAATCCCAGCACTTTGGGAGGCCGAGGCGGGTGGATCACGAGGTCAAGAGATCGAGACCATCCTGGTCAACACGG